TGAAGAGTTAACGCGGTGGGTTAGACCCGGAGAATGTAATAAAGCACCATTTAGGGAGACTTAAAGGAGAACACTCAGCCTAAACCAAGTGCATACCCTCAGGTGACTCTTCGGGAAAGAAGAATGTAACAGAAACACTTCACAGCACAAGCTTGGGTTACAACCCAAATGACAATTTAACTAATGGTGAAACAAGACATTTAATTAACCCGAATCATTTCAATAAGTTAAGATGTTCCATAATCTTTAAGCTTCCTTCAAATTTTCAAGAATTTGAAATAAATTCTCAGAAATAAACCAAGTTTTACAACTTCCAACTTAAATTACTGTACAATGCTATTTCTGAAGCTTTTATCATGTAAGCTGAGTAGATAGAAACAGAGCCTGAATCCTTGTCTACTCCCTATCTGAATGGCAGGCCATCAGAGTCTGAAGTTATTAAGTAATAATAGTTATGTTCAACTGGAGCTGTACTTGTATGCCAGACTTTTCTCAGCACCTCCACCACAACCCCCAAGAATGAAAGGGCCACCAGAAGACAATCTAGAGACCCCTGAAATTAGGCAAGTTATGTAAAAGGAAGCAATGTTCAATACTGGATTCTCACTACTAATAAAACTGTGGCAACACTTAACAAATCACAACCATAAAGTGCCATGTGTGAGTGAACCTTATGAGCAGATTATCAGTTCTGCCTACTGGATTGTGAACAATTTTCAAGCTAGAGATTTTGAGAACTTTGTGGCATTTAACATACAAGTTTTTCCTGAGACTACAAGGAGACATCAACTTTAATATTGCCTGAGTCCTGTATGTACCATGATTTTAAAGCACTCGTTCTCCAAAGTCGGACTTCTAGCACATGCTAAGTGGTCTTAAGGAGTAAGAAATTCAGACAGCTTGGTTGGCACATCAAACACCAGATCACTGGACTAAGAAAACAGGAATTCAACCACAGTATTCTCTTTAAATGGGTTCTGTATTTATATTTATTAGCAAACTGCCACAAATTCCCTATCACTCTTGTCTTGCAGGTCGTCAGACAAATGCATTTGTTCTGTTTTCTGTTTGGAAGAGAATGAGTCAATGAAGCAATAATTCAATGAAGCAATGACTGGCCTATTCCCAAGGTCAAAACAAAGCCTGGGTATGTGTCAGAAAGTTTGGATTAAATAACATTAAACAAAAGCCACTCCACCCCCAACTACAATCACAAACTCAGTCAACCCTTTCCTTAATACAGACACTAGAACTTTAAGGCTAAGATGATGAACAGAGATGAGAAAATTTAATTATACAGAGCTAAACCAAAAATCTAGCTCAGACAGAATTGAGTTCTCTAACCCAATTTACAGTGTAGTAATTAGAGGTTATACAAGAGAACATTTTTGTTGTTGTTGTTGTGTAAAAGAGCAAGTCTTCATATACATAGCCCAGGCTGGCCTTGATTCATGGCAATTCTCCTGCTTCAGCCTCCCAAGTACTAGAATTACACATATGTAGCATTATGCCCAACTTAATGTTTTTTAAAAGGAAAATCAAGAAGAGAGAAGGGAATGGAAAAACAAAAAGCTTGCTTGCTCAACTTTCACTGGTACGGAGTATTCTTTTTGCCAGAAGTTTACACACTTCTTGCCAGTAGTCTACTACTGGTTGTGTATACTCCCTGAAAAAAAAAACCAATCTAAGAGTAGATTTATTATATTTTAACAACTGAAAAATTTAAAACAAAAGTATTAAAAGCTGTGAACATCACATTGAATTCAAAATTCAGTGTCTAAAACAAGGTTCACTGAAGTACAGAAACATTCCATCTATTGTTGCTTTCCCAATGTGCCAGCAAAGGGGACAAGCTAGGGCAAAGACTGTATATATATATGTCCCACAGAGACTAAAATTTTTCTATAGACCTCTGCTCTCTTCTGACACAGTGAAAATATAGTTAATGGATAAAAAGAGAAGAATTAAACTGAAAGAGAGGAAGACACAGGAAATGTTAAAAATCTGTGTCCATGGGTTTTCCTTTCAGTTCACAGCACAACAGCAAGGGGAGAGGAGAGTGGTGGTCAGACTTCAAGTATTTTAATAATGCCGCCGACACAGAAACTTCCTGTGCACCTGAAAAATACTCCAGAATTGAGAAGTGTATTAGTATGTTTTTTGTACCAGGTAGATGTGGACACAGAGAATAAGGTAAGAGATTCTCTATATCCTAAGTTAGAAGAATTAGCTCGAGACTCCACCTGCTTCTGATGCCAGTCACATGCTTCTTCTAGGCTCTACTCCTTTTCAGGAAAATGAGGTATGCTGAGCAACCAGCAGTGTATTCTTTCTTTCAACCCCTAAAACTACAGGAAGAAACAAGAAGAAAAGAACTAGGAAAGAACAACGAGTGTCTGAATTCAAGGACTTGAGTTTGCTCCTTCCTTTTTTGGAGGGGCCTTCTGGATCAAAGACACACGTACGCACAAATCTTATATTCCCAATTCTTCCCTGGAGCAAAAGCAACAATTATCTGAAAAATGCTTGCTATACAAGTAAACACCCAGGCACTAGTTACGAATATTATTTGCAGCAAGTGGTGGGCAGGAACAGCCGGCACCTTCTTACCACAGCACTCCAATAAAACGAGGCTTTGTTATCATCTCATAATGTCAAGCAGTTTGGGATGGTACAGTTCAGTTTACCTACTGTGGTAATCTTAATGAAAAATGCCATTTTAGCCTTTGAAAGGCAAACACTGTCAGGTCTAGCCAAGGAACACTGGCTTTCTAAGGGCAGGGTATGTGAGCACATTAACTTGCCAGCACAAAATTCAAAGCATAAAACACAAAGTCTTCTTAGCAAGTTTCCTTGATCTGAAAGCTATTAAATTTAAACCAGAAGAAAATGTTTTTAAAAATCTACGGAAGAAGCTGAAGAGACAGTTCAGTGGTTAGGAGCATATGCTGTTCTTCCAGAGGAACCAAATTCCACTCACAGCATCCAGATCACTCTGGCTCCAAGCGATCCCACACACTCTTCTGGCCTCCAGGGGTTTCTGCATTCACGCTCACATACTCCTCTCCCAATAATTAAAATAATAAAAAAATTTTAAAACTCTGAATATTAAATTTGGAATGACTACATGGCCCAACAATTCCACTACTAGGCACACAAAAACTTGTCTACATAATGTGTCTGTGTGTGTCCACAAAAGTTCCAGAATTTCTAACAGCTCCAAACATAAAGCATTCCAAAATACACACCTTATTTACAATGGTATGTAGTGATATTTCATTTGTATTTTAATAAATCTTGCCTGAAGATCAGAGTAAAACAGCCCCACTGGTCGGTCAGCCTTACAGATTAGGAACTGGTGACACACACCTTTAATCCCAGCCCTAGAGAGGAGTATAAAATGGGAGGAGACAGGTCTCAGCTCAGTCTCATTCTGAGGATTACTGGAGGCAGGATCACCATTTCAGCTTGATGTGGAAGTAAGAGCCAGTGGCTGGCTGTTTTGCTTTTCTGATCTTCCCTTCAGGTTGAACCCCAATGTCTATCTCTGGGTTTTTATTAATCTTGGTACAATGGTATATGTTTACAATGAAATACTATCTGACAATAATCAATGATGCAATATGAATAAAATGTCAAAATACTAGGCTAAGTCACTGAAGCCAGGCGTCATGAGCACATGCTCTATAATTCTCTTTATATGAAGTTCAAGAAAAGTCAAATGTCTAGGAAGAGAACTCAGGTTCCTGACAGCCTGGTGAGCGGAAGCAAGAAAGGCAGGGCAGACTGCAATGGGCATGGGCTTTTGAGATGACGATGTCACACCAAGAACATAAACAATCAGGCTGGAGAGAAGGCTCAGTGGACACTTCATACACATGGTATACAGACATACATGCGAGCAAAACAAACATACATGAATAAATCTCAAAAAATAAAATAGGCAGTGGTGGGTATGCAGTTCTATAAATATAAAAAGCTACTAAGCATATTTTATTTGAATGGTAGTTTTGCTAATGTATGTACCTGGTGTGGGAGAATTATCTGTATTCTGTCAATCATGTATTTTAATAAAAGACCGATTGGCCAGGCAGGAAGTATAGGCGGGAATACCATATAGGAAGTAGAGGTGATGCAATGAGAATAGGAGAATTCTGGGAAGCAGGAAGATTCCCCTGCCACTCTTGCGCAGATCACTGAAGAAGCAATATGTAAGCTGCCCCCTCTGGAAAAGGTACTGAGCCATTATGGCTAATATAGATAATGATAATGGATTAATAAAAGTTACAAGGACTAATAAGAAGCCTGACCTAATGGGCCAATCAGTTTATAATCTTATGGAGTCCTGTGTGTGATTTTCTTTGAGCCATTATGGCCAACATAGATAATGATAATGGATTAATATAAGTTACAAGGACTAATAAGAAGCCTGACCTAATGGGCCAATCAGTTTATAATCTTATGGAGTCCTGTGTGTGATTTTCTTTGGGACTTGCCGACTTGTTGGGGTGCCGGGCGGGACAGAAACCCCAACAAGCCGGCCCTCATGTTACATGTACCTTCATAAAGCTGCTACGGAAATACTCAACTTTTTTTCTTTGCTAATAATGATATTCCTCGTAGTTTAGACACTTTATGGTGACCTCCAAATGAAGACATACAGAAGTTGTCATGTTTAATAAGGTGCATGGATGCCCTTTGGTATAAATTCTTGTGTCAATGAAAATGTGTTGGCCAGTTTCAAAGTCTTGTGCTCACAGGAATAATGGAATAATGTTTAATTCTAATGTCCAAAGGATTCACGTAGGAGAAGCGATTTCAAAGCTTAGATGACACAAACACGAGCTGAACAAAAACAACCCTTCTTTTCAAAAGCAGAACAAGAAAGAAGTGGTAAAACCATGGATGTATCCCAACCTATCGCTAAAACTAAGGCTACGGATCAACAAGCAGATCAAGGTGCGATGCTCTGTCCATACAGGCCTGCAGATGCCACTTACCGCTTGGGGTCCAGGGCCTTGCTTCATCTTGGGTGTGGTAGTTCCATTTCCTACAACCTCCTGCTCAGGAGGAGCTCTGGTTTTATTCAGAAAATCCACTTCATCTTCAGCTTTAGTGTCTGGCATTTCTGAAGAGAATATGGGTTATTCAGAGAGAGCATATTTGATTAAAAAAAAAAAAGAAAGTTTTTATGTGCTTTTTTATTTACATAACAAACTCTGGGTTTCATCTGTTTTTTTTTTTTTTCTATTAAATGGCAGGAGCTGGTGCCATTTATGATCCCACACTGAGCTATTATTTATCACATGGCTCCCAGCTTTAAATGGGTATTGAGCTAAAGGAGTTTCAACTCATCCTGTACCAAGAGTCCATTTCATTAATGACTTTTCATGAAAATCTATGAAAACTCATATGACAGTAAATTCATAAACTACAAGGGTGCAGACTAATATCTGAAATAAGTCAGTACATTCTGGACATCATTATAGGAAAATATATCTGTACAGAGAAAATGAAAAGCCATTAATATTGAGAAAAAAAATCTTAGAAACTGATCTATACCATCAATTTAATCAAAAAGACTGGACATTTAGGTAAATTGTTTTAAAAAATATCATTCCTTCCAAAAGCAAAATATAGAGAATCAGACACTCTTTTCCTTCTGAAAAAAAAAAAGCTTTTTAAAATTTTTCTGTTGTTGTTTTAGTATGAAATAGTTTGTCCTATATTGACCATGCTCTCCAGATCCAATAGTAATAGTCTCTCTTACTGGGCCACAGGGTCAACAAAAGCAGGAAGTGATAATAATGATGTTCAAGGAAAATTTAGACTCTGACACTTCTTTAAAGAGGAAACAATGATTGAATAGTCAAAATTTACCTTAATTTTCCAAGTATAAATGGAAATTCTGCCTCATTTCCATGTGTTGTTAATAACCTAGCAATGCCACCTCTCTGGCAATAAAAACAATCCCCATCTGAAAGATTGAGGCTTCTCTCACCAAAGAATAACTCATGTGAGGACTCATTTACACTAACAGCACTGTGACCCTCTACAAGATCTTTGATTGGGAAAGTCACATTCCTAACAAAAGAACATTCACAATTCTTTCTACTGTCTTTTATAATTATACAATCTTACTAGCAATTTAAAATAGGTAGCCACGTTTTCCTGCCCAGAGAACTAAAATCTGTTAGCTTTCATACACTCAAGATTTAAAAAAAAAAGAAGCAATCCCTTAAAGAAAATATTTCTAAGAGAGCGAGAGTAACTATGTCTATGTAGGGGGATATATACGGCTTTTATTGTATCCAGGAATGTGATTTTTAATATAACCTCAACTTTCCTATATGTAATCAACAAAAATATGGACCAGTAAACTGTAAACATTGATTACTGAGACTGCAAGATTAGCTTGGCTTGGTCAAGCACCACCAACATTCGGGGAACAGTGACCAATCAATGCTCTCGGTGAGGCAAAGGTCACAAGTCCTTCTTTTAATAGGCTACTCCCAAATCAACAGCTAAAATTGACCTAAAAAAAATCCATGAATGGAAGGCAACCTTCACAAAAAATACCCTTGGCTATGATATCACACTCATATGTACACGCAACGTAACCAGGGACTTTCCTCAGCCATGGCTATTTCATGAAGAAAGTACCAATTTCTTCACCACTGGCTACTTTTTTGTAGCTGGAGGCTGAGCAGCAACCCAGTCATGAGTCCTTTTGGTAACAAAACAAGTAATCCATCTCCACTACATACACCAACCCCGAACTCATTCATTTTCAAGACACTATTTCTTAGTATCTTTATTATAGTTGTATATACTTAAAAACAAAAGTCTAAGATTCTGCTAGTTTTTTTTTCCTTTTTTTTTTTTTTACCTTTTCTGATCCAGTGATACAGACAAAAACTTCACAGTTCACAGTTGCTAGGATCAAACTGTGATCACAGAACAAGAAGGAGAACTAATCCCACCCTGGGTGCCCAAGGACAGAGCACCCAAAGAAAGGAAAACAGCAAGGCATCGACTTACAGCCACTCCCATGCTTCTGAAATGTCAACCTGCCAAGGCCCCCAAAATAGCCTTGTCGTGGTGCCTTGTCTTAAGAATTAGAGACCTCATTTCAGTGTTGAGATAGACGTCAACCTAAAACAGCACTAAATTAAAAAACCTGAAGTCACCAAAAGTCCTACCTCAGCTTCCTTACTTAACCACTGCTTGAAGTTGGGCTTTAAAACGGCCAAAAAAGCCCTTTACCGGGGCACAGGCATTATGTTTAAATTCCATCTTCCCAAAAAACTTCTTCATTATTGTTTGTTCACTTCTCTCCAAACCCCACACCCACAATTCTAACAAGCATTACACTTAAAAGCATTGCCAACAGTTTAAAAAAAAAAAATCTATCAAAAAAGCATCAGAGAGGCACGGTACAGCTAGCTGGTAGCAGGTAGTGTAGAAATGTCTGTACCCGACTGACCTTCAGGAACTTCAGAAGACAAGATGGACAGCCATTCCGACGCCAGTTTCAGCCTCAGTCTCAAACACCATAAGACGTTCCAGTCAGCAAGTTCATCCCACTGAGCAATGGTAGTTTCTTTCTGCTCTCCCTGGACATGGCTACTCACTGATGAACAGGCTGCCTGTGTTGAGCAATCTGCTCAGTGCAGCTGCTTCACCAAGATAAGCAGACACAAGGTCTGCCCGGTGACAGCAGCACAGCAGACTGGGCTTGGGCGGCCTGGGCGGAAATCCTGTATCCTAGCCCCTGTGCTGTGCAGGACCCTGAATTCTCAGACTCTGCCCAAAAGTGAAGCAGCCAACCTGGGGGTCTGTTCCTCAGGCAGGAAAAGGAGGGAGTACACACCCCTGACTTAACCAATGACTTCATATCACCATTTTAGATATTCATTTTAAAAGAGTACTTCTCGAAACAGCTGTTCGCGAAACTGGTCTGACTTTAAATTCTCTTACAAGACATACAGACAATGACTTGGGAGAGTTTCCAGCTTGTAAGCTGAGCACATTCATTTCAGCGCTGTGTTCTGTGGCTCTAAACTGCTTGATTAACACCGAACTAAACTGCTTGATTAACACCATCTCAGACCCAGGTGCTGTCTTCCAGATTTAGAAACTTTAACAGCTCCAGTGTGACAGACAGTGTAGGCTAAAAAAAAAAAAATCCCCAACCTTTGAGTCTATAATACAGGAAGTAAAATCTGTCCAACCCAAGATGACACGTGTTTCCTGACAGTAGTGACTATTAACTTGGCAACTTACACTACTGAGCAAGCAAGACCTTAAAACAGTAACGACAACCACGCTCTTGCCAGTACATAACAGAAACATGCTTCTCTGAAGCTACTGATTTTATAAACTGCTTACGCTTACCTGGTGCTGGCTCAGGCTTGTCCACAGGTGGAACAATCTTCTCTGGTTCCTCTGTTTCAACAACACAGTTCCCGGTGATTTCTTCATGAGTATTATCCGTGTGCAGGGTCTCCCCAGGAAGGAAAGTACACGCACTCTCTGTACAAACATGCTGTGGCTGCTTAGTCTCCGGGACGGCCAGTGATGGACTACTGGTTTCTCCCTTAGTCAACAGTGTGCTGGAGGCCTTGACTTGCTTGATGACGGCCTCTACTATACGAGTGGCGGTCTCCTCTATGGGATCTGCTCCCTTAGGTACACATGCAGCTTGGATTCCAAGTAGAGAGGTGGCATTACTTTCCTCTTCCTGGACTGAGGTCTGTGTGACTTGCTTCATGCCAGCTTGGAGGACACTGTCAATGAGAGTTGAGAGTCCTATCTCTGTGGGGAGGTCCAAGGCAAGAGGCTGCATTGCTTCTTCATCGTTTGGGGCCTCTTTGGAGTTACTCATAGCACGGCTGAGGTCTGTTCCTTCCAGTTTCTCTCTCTTGCAATCAAGTGGCACTATCTCTGGGGCTATGACTTCCTGTGAGCCAGTGACACCTTCGTCCAGAAAAGCTTCTGGCAAACTTGGAGTCATTTTCTTCTCTTCATTGAACAACTCTGAAACTGGACTGTCTTTGACACAGTGTGATGTATCCTTCCTTCTGGGCTCAGCAACAGCTGATAAAGCATTAGGTGCTGGGCCATCCTCCATGACATTTCTGCTCACCACACAAGCATTCGTTTCCCCATGGATCTGAGCACTCACACTAGCATCCAGAGCAGAAGGCTGAAGGGCCTCAGATGCATCTGGCGGCAAACTCGGCAACCGAGATGAGCCACTCTGCTCTGCATCCGAGACTTTCTGCTTTGAACCTGCAGTCAGGCTTGCTTTTGGTGGCACCAGGCTCTTTACAGCCCCACCTTCAGTCAGCGGGGAGACCTGTGTGGCCACTTCCTTGTTATGCTTACTTTCTGTTTTCAGCCCGGCAGAGGGTGTGCCTGGTGAGTTACTGGGCTGCAGTGCTTTCTCCCCAGCTGACATTGGTTGTTCACAAAATCTCGGTATCTCCTGTCCAGTCGGTGTTGTTATCTGGTTTTCCCTCGACATCTCTGAACAATTCCTGTCTTCTTTAACGGAAGAACACCTCCTTGCTTCGTCCTTGTCATCTTGCCCCAGAGCTGCTGAGTTTTCTGGAACCACCAGACTGCCACCTTCTTCAGGAAGTAGAGACTCAGAGACCAAAGCAGCTTTATCCACACTTTGTAGTGAATCATCGCTCAGAACTTCAGGTGTTGCTGTTGGCCCGGGGCCCTCCTGCTCTCCAGCAAGGCCTACAGGGCTGGTGTTCCCCATGCTGGGCTGGAGCTCTACGGCAGAGGGTGTACACAGGCCAGTGGCCCCGTCACCTAGCTTACCGGGATCACTCGAGTCTCCTCCATCTGGGACCTCTCCACAAGCTGTAGCACTATGGAGCTGAGGAGCTGCTGTTCCCTTTTCTCTCTGGGAGGGGACAAGAGAAAGTGCGTCATCTTTGGTTACTGATTCACTCTCTGGACTGCTGCCTGGTGGCGATACCTGGTCTGGCACTGGTTCTTTTTCGGTCTGGGGGACAACTGAAGGCAAATGAGAAACATCCTCGAGCTTATTTAAGGTTGTAGCTTGTCTTACATCTTTTCCCTGGCTCTCCGCATCTAAAACACGGAGCGGACAAGTCCCCACAGACTCCTGGGTACTTTTCACAGTGTCACAAGTGACTGTGTCAGCTTGTGGGTCTTCTGGGCAGAGGGTGGTGCAGGGACTCTGCGCGTTTGGCTGGGTTCCTGTGCTTTCTGGCAGGCTGAGCTTACCACAGCAGTGCTGGACAACCAGCTCACCACTAGGAGTCACTGTGTTTTGCTGACACGAAGACTGGGCACAAGATATGCCAGCCCCACCCGTAGAACAAAGCAGTGCCTGGCTGTTTGGGCTTGGAGCATGGCATGAATTAGATTCTGATTTCTGGTTTGGCATCCCATCTGGTTTTGGCCCAGAACAGGTTAACACCAATGGTGATGGTGTCTCGCACAGCTCTGCTAGGGGAGTATCAGGTGCTCGCCCACCCAAAGTCGTGTCTTCTGCAGCAGGTGGAGACACCAGAGAGCTCTGCTCACTGAGAGCATCGGTTCTCTCCTTACACCTTCTCTCCTGTGTTTCCTTTCCTGTTCTCTCAGGGGGGATTTCTCCAGGACTTAAGGCAGGCGAAGACTCAGCAGGCATGTTGGCACCCAGGGCACTGGAGGCAACGGCACGGTTTGCAACACTGGCTTTCTCCACAGGCTCATGTAAAGCTTCAACGCCAGATGCCTCGGCTGTGCTGACATCAGAATTCTCCAATCTTTCCTCTGTGACTTCCCCTACTTCATGCTTATTCTTCTGGATGGTACCGTTTGGGTTCAGTAAGCTATGTTTCAGTTCTCCTGCATTCTCTGGGGCACCAGCAACTGTTGAAGAACTGTCGAGTAGCTCCCTTCCAGAAGAATGCTGGCATGACCCTGGCTCTGTCACCATGACTTCCTGCAGCACATTGCCACTGTTGCTCAGGGACTGCTGACCTGTGGCCACTACAGAATATTTTGTTCCAGTTACTTCGGTTCTGTGTCCACAGGATGGAAGGCCTTCTGTGCCCTTTACTCCACAGTCAGGTGTGCTCTGAAGGCAGCTGTCTTGATGAGATGAAGACCCAGAGTCCATGGCAGATGCTGGCTCCTCCTCTTCCCCTTTCCTCTCCACATCTTTATTTTTCTTATGAGCACAGACAGCATTTTCTTCCTCAGCCACACTTGACAAATCACAGGAACTTGCAGCCTTCCCCTCAGGACTCCCTTGGCAACACGGAGCGCTGCTGGTTTCTTCAGAAGAAAGCGGCTGCTGGTCAGAAGGCTCTGGTGCACAGGAAAGGAACTGGCTGTCTGTCTCTGGGGTACCGGGCACATTAGAAGAATTCTGTGCTGTCACCATTAAGGGCATAAGATTGTCCATCTGCTTCAAGTTTGTTTTCTAGGAGGGAATCAAAGATACTTTTTAAAAAAATTGACAATGAAAAGAAAGGTGTGTGTGTGTGGGGGGGGGGACACAAAACAAAGCTGATCATGAGAAACGCATGTCATCGATGCCTCCTAGCAAAGTCATGTTGGACAAAACTGTCTTCCCAATCTTTCTCAGTTTAATGCTGCACTGCCCTCTGACCACATCTGTGTATCCATGAGAATGTTACATTTTATTTAGATTATACTCAGTGACTGATTTCCATTATTAAAAAATAGATTTAAAATTAGACCTCAAAAGCCTTATTTTTAAAAAGCACAATTGACATCTTCAAATGAGAGCCAACGAGGATCCTTAGGTCTTTACAGGAACAGAGTCTACTTCCATCTGCCTCAAATATTAATGTAAAATCAAAACCTAACCAGTTTAAAAACTCCTTCAATCAAAATATTCAGTCTTACAACCATATCCTCGAAATATGCTCAACCCAACACACCTAAACTAAGTAGGTTCAAAATTAGAGGTACTATGTATCAGTTTGATAAAAAGTGGTTTTTGTTGTATCCATACTAAATGTTAAATAAAAGATAGTGCATACTACCAACTACTGCCAAGGGTTCTATGGGTTGGAGGGTATCAAAAATCTTATCAAAAAATAGTTTTTGTCACCTTAAACTTTGTGAGTAATCTAGTTTTATTTATTTTCTAGGACAAAACCACACTATGTAGGAGAAACTTGCTATGTAGACAGGCTGGCTACAAAACCACTTAATACCCTGTTTCTGCCTCCTGACTACTGGGATTATAGGCTCACATTACCAGGCATAGCTTAAGAGTTTTTGATATTATTATATAAACAAATACAGCAAATACGAAAGAAATGGGTAAAGCAATCACAATTCATTAATTTGTCAAAAAGAACACAACACTGTTATATAAACTATGAAGACTATCTATCTTTTGCTACTCTCTCTCCCTCTCTGTGTGTGTGTGTGTGTGTGTGTGATAGAGAGAGAGAGAGAGAGAGAGAGAGAGAGAGAGAGAGAATGAATGTTGAAAAGCTAAGAATTAATTACAGTTAATCAAAAGTAATAAAGTAAGCAGAAAGGCCTGGGGAGATGGCTCAGTGTTGAAGAGTGCATGTCATCCTTGCAGCAGGCCTGAGACTTCTCTTCTCAGCACCTACTACACCCAGCAGCCTGCAACCACTTCTAACTACTACAGTTCGAGGAATTCAAAGCCTCCTCTGGTCTCCAAGAGCACCTGCACTTATTTGTACCTACTCTCTGACATGCAACCCCCCACAACTAATAATAATCTTAAAGATAAATATAAAAATATCATAGATATGCAGATAAGACTTAGGAAAATAAAGACAAATAAATAGAGCTGAACCTTTAATGAGTTTATAATATCAAAATTCAGCAACTATGACAGTAATATTTATTTGATACATAATTATTTAAAAATATCTGTTCTCCATTTATTATTTGTTATTGAAATATTTTTTATAGACACTTCCTATCATGTCTCGCTTATGTTTAATCTGCAAATATACTGACTGTAGATCATCAGACTGTTCTTTCTTATTAAAGCTACTGTGAAGTTTGCAGGTAAGAGTAAAATGTGTGACCCTTGCTGGTGTCTTTTTATTAGAGTATACCCAAGCCAGACTTTCCACTAAACACATGTATGCTGCATTCCTCAAGAGTATTCAAAACTAGCCTGGAAAACTTCACTTAAAAGTTAGGGCAGCAAATCAATGCTCTTGATGAAAGGTGAACACTGCAGACCAGAGAAACAAGTAGGCAGTGCTGTCTAAAGAATGGTCAAAGTAACACTGAAATATGCAAGCTGAGTTTTCTTAATTAGAGGACCATCCATTAAGTAAGAGTTCAAAAGAGGAAAAAGTAATTTCGGAATAGTCTATTCAAAGGAAAATGGCAGGCTGGAAATAAATATCATTCAGAAAGGTAGAAGGCTGGCAAGATGGCTCAGTAATTCAGAACACTGGTTGCTCTTTCTTCTGACCTCTGAGAGCACTGCATGCACATGGTGCAGACATACACACTTTATGCACATGAAGCACATACACACTGCAGGCACATGGTACACAGACATATATGCTTCATGTATATGGTGCATAGATATATAAAATGCAGGCATAGGATGCAAGTCACACTACATGCACATGATGCACAAGCATACATACTGCATGTACAAGTTGCACAGACACACATAAAAATAAAAAATGTTCCAAAAAAAGAAAAGCAGAATAAACCATTTCATACAATCCTAGTGTAGAATTTTTTTTGGCTTGCTTGTTTCAGAAATAATGCTTGTTGCCAAAGAAGCCTCTGGCATCAAGCTGGCCCTAGATGACCTTAAATAAAATTATTATCAGGCTGTTTCCAAATCAAATCAGCTTTGAAATAAACTGGGTGGAAAAATTATCTAAACTTAGCTTCTCAAATGCAGAGAGATACAGCCATATGACGTCTATATTATCCACAATAAATGCTACCAAGGAGTCTGTAATGATTTTATGTCTGGCAACCATTTTATCTTCAGTGCTTGAGTGGATTATAAAATCCTTATTTTTCTGATGACCTTTGTAATTGTCAACTATTCATTTAAACATGGCAGTTCTATCATCATTCCCTGAACAGCGGTGAAAGGGTTTTCCTAAGGAGTCAATTCCCTTCATTGTCTTTAGCAACAATCTAGACATTATGGCCTCCTATAATGCTAAAACATTAAAAAAAATTTTCATGACAGAAAAAAATTGTTCTACCTGCTACACATTTGCACATCTGTTGTGACTATGAGTATCTTTCAGAAATTTGGGAAGAATTTCAAATGTAAAGATTGCAGCCCTGTGGGCCAGCAAGATGGCTCAGGGAGTAAAAGCACTTGCCATGCAAGCCTGGGTTTGATTCCCCTAAACCCATAACCAAAGGATAGCTGACTCATAAAAGTTGTCTTCTGAGCTCCGTACACAAGCCCAGTAAAAACGGTGGACACACACGCATGCACATGCACACACATGCACACACACACACACAGACTGAAAATACTCTTTCATACAATATATTCTAATCACAGTTTCCCTCCTCCAACTCCCCAAATCCACACCTTGCGGTCTGATGCAGGTGTTTCTCAACTGAGGTTCCCTCTTCCAAAATGGCTCTAGTTTGTATTAAGGTGACAAAATGCTAACCAGCACAGCCACACTGACTACTAATAACCCTTTATAAATTTACATTCTAATTATAGCAAGACTCATGGCGGGAGGGGGATAGGCAGACAAGTAACTAAAATGAAAACTTTCCCTTACCATTAGCTGCTGTTGGATATTCATCAGTTTAAAAATATGTCCAGTACAGCTATCTCCATGGGGTTCATGATGTGATCCAGATTCAGATGTCAACGTGTAGACATCCAATTCTCGATGGTGTCTCACTGAACAGTCTCCATAAGGGATTTCATAGGATAAACTGCTCCAGGAATCTGGTTCACCAGCATTTTCCCTGCAAGTAAGCAATCTCATTAATATACAAAATCTACTACCAGGCACAGATTTAATATTCTAAGCATGATGTAATAGTTCTGACTGCTCTCTGAGCCTTCAGAGCAGAAAATGATTGGTTTATGCAGCTTCAATGATTTAAGCACATGACAGGACAAATATCTCTATCCTCTTTTCCTCTTTGCAAGAGAACAGAAAGGGCTTAAGAAAATTGCCTAAGGATGTTCTTTTGGTAAAAACAGGGAAGTCTAGAATCTTTAAATAGTTAATATCATGCTAATAATCAAATAATGAACTATCAGGAAGGGATGAACTGGTCACCCTAACCCCTTAAGATACTCCTTTGAATCACTAGGTAGAGAAGACACCTTCAAAATTCTTGAAGTCCACTATACAGGGAAAACTACAATGCTATATATACTAGTCTTATCATCACACTTATAAAACCCTGTTTTAAATGAAGGTCTGGTTCTATGAAATTCAAGCTATTTTTTTTTTAAATTTAGAAACCAAAGCTGGTTATGTGGCTCAGTGGTAGAACACGTGGGTTTGATTTTTCTGTAAAATCCCGGGTTTGATCCCTAGCACCAAACAGATAAAACACCAAAATTCTAAAGATAAAACGTGACTTTGCTAAGTGATATTATGAACACATGTGGTATACGAATAAAGCTGATGAGTAGAAACATGAACAACTTCTGGCCTCAGACTAAAAACATGAAACTATTTTTTTTTTGATAAATGTAGAAAACAGATTTAATGAGGATAGCAGGTTTACTTGAAAACATTTTAAAACTAGTGAACAAAAAAAGAAGGAACGAGTTCTCTCTCAGTGTTTGCTATCCTCTACTGTGTTTAAGACAAGTGGGTTTCTTCTACAAAGTTCACAGTTGTTGTAGGATTAATAAAAACCCAGAGAATGATATTGGGGTTCAACTTGAAGGTAAGAAAAGCAAAACAGCCAGCCACTGGCTCTTACCTCTGCCTCAGTCTGAAATGGTGATCCTGCCCCCCAGGAATCTCAGAATGAGACTATATCTGACAGCTGTCTCTTCCTGTTTTATATTCTTTCCTTTCTAGGGCTGGGATTAAAGGCGTGCACCACTACCGCCTGGTTTCTATGGCAAATTAGCATGGTTACTGGGATTAAAGGTGTGTGTCATCACTGCCTGGTCTGAAAGGCTGACCAGTGGGCTTGTTTTACTCTCCCATCTTCAAGCAAGCTTTAGTTACTAAAATAACAATGAAATGTCACTACATACAACACTTCTAACTTGACTCTCTTCACAAGGTTGCCCATGTCTGTGTTTGCTTGCAAAGCATCAGGTACACTGGTTTTATGCTGGATGAAGGTATTTAAGCATTTAAGATAAACAGGTATGAAGCATACAGTGTATGACCCGATTTCACATTCTTACTCAATCTATTTGGCACACACTTCAAGTTAAGGAGACTTTTCTGTTCTGGGATGTCTATCTTGGCAGCTCTAATCCTCCCCATTGTGTCTTTCTTGTTAGTCAGATACAATGTATATAATGCAGAGTTGAGATTTCTGGATTCAAAGCCAAGCACTGAATTTCTTGGCTATATAATCTTATAAAGTGTCTTAACTTCTCTGGATCTTAGCTCTATAATGTGTACAAAGGGATAATTCAAACACTAGTTCAAGAAATGGATAAAATGAATAGGAGGAGGGGAGATAGTAAAAAATATTAAAAAAAGAATCAACACAGAAAAAAGAGAAATGGATAAAAGGAACATAAGGGCTTAACACAGGGACGTACAAGCTGGTGTTGCCTGTTACTCCCCACTGTGGCCTTTGCTAAGGTCCACCCACACATTCTACTGTTCTCAAGAGCACAGACCTTGTCTACATCTAGTCAGCACACCTTTCCTTCTTTGTTCAGTCTCCTTGCATCTGTAGGGTAACTACTCACCACTGTCTTGAGTAGAAGCCTTTTCTGTATCTACCATTAGTGATTAAGTTGTCCCTTAGCTTTAACTTCTGCCTAGTTAGTACCTAAAGTTTACTTTGGAAACTACACAATGATTTTATTGTAACCAAACCAAGTCTGGCAGGGCATAAAAGCATACCTACAAAACACAAGAGAGATTCTGTTTCTTTTAGTTGGTGAGTTAGGATGCCCTGGTTAAGAACTTTTTAGAAAGGTCTTATATACATTGTATCTCGGGTGAAATGGAGGCCTGCAGATGCAGGAACTAAAATAGCACAGGAAGGTTTACAGAGATCTCTACCACTTCCTCCACCTCCATCTCCCTTTTAGATTATGGTGAGAAAGTTACCACTATGATTAACGTATTTTATTACTAGCTTGCATTTATGCAGTATAGACATTATTTCATTTAAGGCAATAGTGTCTTAAATTGTCACATTTAAACAGATTCTGAAACAGACTTCTAACTTTCAATCTTCCTGGCAAAGGTGACTTATATGAATGTTTTCAACATTCTTGTGAGCCCCAAATTGCATGTGGTTTCTAGCATGGCTCCAGAAACCAGTCTTCTGAGTTCAGCAAGACTATGTGGTCTAGTAACTCATCTGTAACCTCACCTGAGGACAAAGCACATGTATCTTCTAATATCCTGTTTCCACTGTCCTATACAGCCACAGGGCAGTTAGAGGAACTCGTGTAGTGTTGACATTTGGGCAGAATTTCATTTATACTGTGTCTGGTCTATGATGAGTGATTTGGGTTTGATATACAAGAGGCTTTTCAAGTGTTATAAGAAAAAGTAAGTTCGTGAGGATGGGGGGGGGGTGCCAGAAAAGTAGGAAATATGAGAAGTGGGTGGGGAAATTACTAAAATATGCTTTAAAGTATTATAATTATATCTAGATCATTTTATGGAATTTATTTTTGAAATACTTTTAAAATCAAAAGAAATGGAAACAATAGCTTTCTTATCAAGTTAACTTAAAAATTAAAGACATACCAAGAAAGATGAGCACATATAAATATAAATAATCACACGCAGTACTAACAAAATACTAGTTTCTACTTTCTTCCAGAAAGAATGGAAGGAAAGATGAGGGGCAGAGACACACAGGATACACACTATCATTTTCCTCTATTCCTAACACTTATTAGTTGCTTAACAAATATCAGACATTAAACTATGCACACGTGTCCTCCCATTTATAATCTTTGCTGTTCATGGAGATTATAACTATCCCAATTTACAGTGCAGACTGTTGAAGCTCTACGTTATAAGCAACTGACTAACTTAACCCACAACTCAGTAGCTGAGCCACACTTGTGCTCAGTCTTTGGCAGATGATATCTTTATTCTGCAATGTCATCCATCACTGGGAAGAACATCAGCACTGCTGGCCAAAATCAAACTATGGGTTAGAGAAATACTTATAAAAATAATCTGAAGCTTGAGAAGAAAAATATAAATGGTAAAATAATTTCAAAATGATCATATAAAACAGACCAAGGAAGTCTAACTGCAAGCATAGACAGAGAACAAGGCAGGCAGACTAGTCTTTAAAATGTTTAGTTCTCTCGTGTAGTAAAACCCAAAACAAAATCAAACAGTAAGCACCTGTTTGCTAATTCAAATGTCCTATTTATGGAGAAATAAATAAGCAATTTGTTAATTAAATCATTAACTTTAAGTTACAATAAAGTTGTTATTCTATAATCTACTTTTTCCACTTGAAAAAGAGAATTTTGTTTATTAGTCTGATAGGATGTTCAACTTTCAGTCAGGAAGTTCACTTGGCAATATACTAGGTTACTGAAGTTCAAGACAGAAACCCATAGACAAACCAACAAGCTTGTAGGAACCTAATATATCTTTAGAAAGTCCACTGCTTTGTCTTAAGTTTTACAGAATGTATTATTGGAATGCATTCACCTTATCTGTCAATTAGACCAATAAATTAGGTAACAATAAAGAAACAATTCATTTTTTTATAAACTAGGGTGACTTTTTTTTTTTAAACCTATTCATTATGCATAGAGTGTTATACCGGCATGGTTGCTTTTCCAGAGGTCCTGAGTTCAATTCCCAGCAACTAGTGTGACTTTTATCTGTCCTAACCTGCTACCTTTGAAGTAACATGTAGCATTATTCTCCCTAATAACAGCACTGTACAACAGATTAAGTGAAAAGGAAGATAATCCCTCTATTCATGATAACCACAGCTTTTTTTCTTTCCAATTTATTACAAAGTAAAAACTCTAAAAATGAATTATTTGGGAAATGAAATTTAACATCAACAAATACTGGGAAGTGGTAACTAGCGAACAATAAGCAGCATTAGGTGGCACAGCACACGTAGTATTGGCTAGAGACTTACTCCATCAAAGGGATGCTTCACATAGGCCTGGGGAAAGTGGAAAATTTAACTGAATAGAATTCAGAGGATTTAAAAAGCCCAGTTCACAACTGGCTACTATTGGTGATGATGATAATGATGATGATCTCAAAAGCATCCAAAGATCAACTTTAACAGCCATGTTACTAAGGGCTTCTGCAATTTATTGAGATGATTCCCTTGAACCAAATATGAAATGCTGGGAGCAAATTATAGTTCACAATAAACACAATGCAACTATAAAGGATTATCTAGTTCTCTATAACAACAATAAAAAGCACATCCAATCTTCTATGTGACAATAACAGTATTCTGTATACAGATGAAACATAAATAAACAAGGGTTCAGAGCTACAGTGCAAGAGCAAAGTCTATTAATTCATTTCCAGCAAAGTTTTTGCTCAATCTGATTGCTTTTGTTGATTAATGAGACTTATGTACAGTTAAACACAAAATGTTTTAGATTACATTGTAAAGCAATACAATGAGGTGTTGTGAATATGCAATTTTTAAAATATTCAAAAGCATATGTGCCCTAAAAGAAAATGTATTTACAAAAGCTCTAGAAGATATTCATAGAAAATGCTGACTTGTTTTGTGTGAGCCATAAAATGCAAATATAAATCTTATAGCCTAAGATGGGGCTGAGTTAG